CTTTGGTGTTTTCGGCTTGTCCTTGTCTTGTGATGAGCCGGGTTCCTTTTCACCTCCTGGTCCCTTTGGCGTTTTCGGCTTGTCTTTGTGTTCTGGTGAGGCAGGTTCCTCTTCGGCGGTTGGTTCTTTTGGTTTTTTGGGTTGTCCTGCGTCTTGTGTCGGTTTTTTTGCTGTAAAATGAAATGAGTCGTTATTTGGAATATGTAATCGTAGAAAGAATATGGGGGAAATACGATTTGTTGTCGTACTCAGTTTGTGTTTTCGATAAAGATATTTTCTCATATTATGCGTTTATTGGTGTGGCACTGGCTTTGGGTCTGATAGTTTTTTGAGACAGGAGGTTGAATGGGGAAGGGAGGATTTGTATTCTAAGCGGATTGTGATGGGGTTTCTTTGTTTTTTCGTGTGTGGGTTGTACAATGTTATGGCGCATGAAGAAATACGCCGGTTTAGTGCAAGATGATTGTGATTTATACTGATAGTGGGGCGAAATGATTTTTAGTTTGCTTTGGGTAGGAGTCTAGTTGTATGTCTGGCTATTGAGAACGCTGTTGGTGGAGGTCTCATGTTACGTGTTCTCATAATCTGGATTATGATTCTGTATTATCGACGAATTTCGTAAGCTAGTATTTATTAGTTGTGCAAGTTGCTGTCACCACTTCGGAAAGTGAGTTGCAAGAAAGGTGGTTTGCGTTGCGTGTAGAATTGGAGGAAATGTGTTTATGGCGTTTTAGAGTAGGCTCATTTGAAGCAAGTATTATAGAGGAAATCGGGAAGTCTTTTGGAGTGCGGTTGAGCGCGGTTTAGTTCATATCTGAACTCGCCAAATCGCAGTGCTCGGTTATTTAATAGATGCCTAATTATTGATGGAGAATTTATTGATTTCGTTAAAGTCTCTTGTGGTTTGCTCTACGGACTATTGGAACTGAGCAATAACACTTTTAGAGTTGACTTGTTGAGATATATCAGTTTTATGCCTCATACACTCTATTCAATTCTTGAATTGTTGAGAACACCCGCCTTTAGTCTGTGCATACTATCAAATATTTGGAGTGAATTGACTGTTGGCTCATTTGTTTCTGTGGATAAATGTATATAGATGAGAGATGGCGCATTGCTTCAATTAGGAATAGCGTGTTCTCTACTCGTTTTGAAATATATACACTTATATAAAAGAAAGTAAAAGAATTTGTTGAACAATTTGTTGCAGCTAACTAGTTTTAGAGGAACATTACCTTGTCGACCCAGTGTTCGCATATAAAAAGGTGGAAGGGAAAGAATGTATTGGCTTATACGTTCCAGTCAATAAGAATATGAAAATGATACGACGATCGTTTTCCTGCTTATAATAGAGGCATCCTTGTAATCGTACATGTGAACAACAGACAGGGAAAATGCTCTCTTAGGTAGTTTTTTCAGTAAGTAAGCATATAAGAATAAATGATGCCGTATATTCTAATCGAATTGGAGCGGTTAATCAAAGTGAAAGTTTGCATTAATATTTAACATGCTCTATTCCTGCAAAAGGATCTGTCATAGAAAATAGACGATAGGAAGGAGAAAGTATTTGAAACTATAAGCTAGGTAAAAAAATAATAAATTATCTTTTGGTAATCAGAAATCTTCTCATGCATCAAATAGTGGAATCAAAATATTGTGATATGAAATCGATAGAGCTAGTCAAGTTCTATCTAGTCTGGTGGAGCATCGCGTTGAAATCATTTTCGGACAAATCTACACGAGTTTATGGGAAATTAATACACAAAAGGACTAGATAGTAACTCGCAATCGTTGATGAGTGGAGTGAAACAAGTAAAACGTGACATCGACAAAGCTTGATCAGCTCTATCTGCAATCGTTATTGATTTTATTCGATTCCCTTGTGGGACGAAATGAGAAAGGTTTTACACAAGAATGAGTGCGTTATTCTGTTTTTTTCAAACATTAAATATTTGGCTTTTCTATGATCCGAGCTTTTTTTTGGAAGAAATACTTCCTGAGACGTTAGTGCTCATAAAGTTCTACTTGTAACCGGAATAAGCAATCTTCAAATAAGTTTTAGAACGAATCCATTCATGATTTATTCGAACCCTGACCAAAGATATCTTACGTTAATGCTAATGATTGAAAGGCTATGAAGACGAAACTCTCGCATTTTAAAAAACAAAAGAAATACTTTCGACGGACATTCCCAAAACATATGAAAAACCATCAAAAAACTATGGTGAAAAAGTTCACTACTCTTCTCAATAAGCATGTCAGGAAAAGTGATCAGATTGAGCCTTCGATTTCACAGACTGCTAAACTCATAACACCATAATACAGCAACGAAAAAGCAGAGGATTCGGACATGTGACTTCATTACAATCACCCTAAAGTAATATACGCCGAGATATCTATACTAAACTATCTCTACAGCCCACTACCAAGACATACGGTGAATATTTAACTACACAAAACGAAGCCCACTAGCTTTATCAATAGTAAACTAGCTTGCTCGGAACTCAAACAACAAATCAGGCTTCCAAAACCAAGCGCAAAAATTCTTTGGCGATCTCCGTCACTCATAATCGCCTTCAGTCCATCTTATGTTCCTCCACACCAGACAAATCAAACATAGAGAAGTAAAATGGTTTCACCAAAAGCGAAAACTTTAGTTGTCAAGTCTAAAAGTTTACAAGAAGACTTATGATTTACGCAAAGATTTGTTTAACGGAAAAGCGTTGCAGAATTAACACTTACAATACTAGTCGTAAGTTCTAAATGTTGCTTGGAATAGCTTGACTTTTTCCTTCAAAAAATCAATACGAAGAATACAAACTATAGAGATGAAAGAAACTTTCATCATATACTTGTCGCAAATAATACATATGGCCTTTCAACAATACAGAAACTCGAAATTAACTACAGTGTCAACTAAATGCAAGTAATATCTTATAAAAGCCATTTCATAATGTCGGCACACATAATTATCAAAATCAGAACGCTAACAATTAACACTCTATGTAACATAGATTTCCGTAGGGTTTCATTCAGACATAAACAGAGAAATGCAGTAAAAACCTCCCTATTCTCAATGACTTTAATCTATGAAGATAGATTTGTTTTTACAACCTCACAGTTCATATCATTCATTCCTGAATATATAGTTTCACTGAGTTCCCCTGTATGTAACGACATAAAGCATCATGTCATATTAAATTATATCAAAGTCATCGAACGGATGATTTCATGTGAGCGAAGCAACTTACTGGGTTCTTCTTCACTTCCTGAGCTTGAATCATCGTC